TAAAACGGTGATCTACGGATCGGATATTTTCCAAGTATATATATACTAATAAGTATTTCATAACTTGGGGGAAAGACTATATATATAAGTATCACCCTATGTTTGGGTCTTATACTTGAAACGCTAGTTATTCTATATTTAGCCTGCTACTCGCTCGGTACTTGTACTGACCCCTTCGGGGGGGGGGGGGGGGGCACCATTTTCAGGTTGAAGTTAGGGATTGCTACTTGCACCTTTCTTACGGGTGATATCGACTCAAGAAGACGTGGTTCGTGCTTCCTTATTTTCTTTCAAACTACCGAACACTTGCTCATGGATATTTGAATTACTATAAACTATTTTTGGGACTTGCATGCCCATGTTGTTGGCCGGTTGTGGCTTATGACTTACCGTTGAATATTTCCGCTATTCATTGGTTTAAATGTGATGTTGTTATGTATGTTTACTACTGAGTATGGATGGATTATTTTCTCGAACGCCTTGTGTAATTAATTGAGGTTGACTCGCGGGTGACGTCACTTGATTATACGGCGGTTGTACACGCGCTTGGATTGCGGTCTGGGGCGTGACAAAAAATGGTGGACGCTAGCTGCTTCTAGACCTTGGAAAACATTCATGTATACATAGTGCAGTTAACACCAAACGTGATGTGCGCTTCGAGCATTACACACACATAAAGGTGTTGGAAGTTTTGAAATTGATTTTTATGATCAAATACTAAAACTCTTGACAAACGTTCTCTTTTATGCAAGATTGATTCTGATGAAAAGGCAAAAAAGACGATTTGCTCCTCATGTGTTGTTGTGAAGGATTATGGTGAAGACGATGAGTCTTCTGCATAATTGAGAATTTTGAAAAGAACCTTTATTTTGAGGGATTAAATTGCAAATAACAAAATTAATATAACATGGCAATTTACTATAATTTGATTGGTTAAAAATAGGAATGCATCGAAACACACTAAATTTTAAAGTCCACCATAGGCGAACCCTTAAATAATTACGGAGAATATATTTTGTCACAAATTTTAAAAATAGGAATGCACCGAAACACACTAAATTTTAAAATCGAGGCTCAGGAATTGCCCCCCGCTCCTGATGATTTTGTTGCGGCTCAGGCACCTGCAGCTCGAGAGGGTGCTCCACACGGTGGGGGAGGTCCTCCGCGGGGTCCACGTGGTGGACGAGGCCAGCAGCAGCGCGGGGGTAGTGCTTGAGGGGGCCGAGGACACTACCACCAGCAGTATGGTGCCGCACCACCACCGAGGCTCGAAAATACTTATAAAGTTGATCTTGTTTCATTACCTAATAATAGTATGACTTGTTTGAGCGTTATTGATAATGATCCTCTGTTATGGCATAAAAGGCTTGGACACACGAGTTTTTCACTAATAAATAAACTCAAAAATAATGATTTAGTTGTTGGACTACCTAATATGAAATATTCACTCGATCATGTTTGCTCTGCTTGTGCCACCGGTAAACAATCTCGATCATCCTTTAAAATGAAGAATTTTGTGAGCACAAGCAAGCCCATAGAACTGATTCACATGGATTTGTGTGGTCCAATGTCATTCCGTAACCGAGGAAATAAGGAATATGTTCTAGTTATTGTTGATGACTTTTCGAGATTTACATGGACTATCTTTCTTACTAGTAAGAAAGATACCTTTAATGAGTTTGCTATTTTTGTAAGGAAAATTGAGCACCAAACAGGTCTACAACTAATCAAGATCCGTTCGAATCATGGAACTGAGTTTGACAATTCACTCTTCGATGCATTCTGCAAGGAACGAGGGATAGACCACAATTTCTCTGCCCCTAGAACTCCACAACAAAACGGAGTAGTAGAACGGAAGAATAGAACTCTGGAGGACATGACTAGAACAATGCTTATTTCGAGCGGTCTAGCTAGGAGCTTCTGGGCTGAGGCTCTAAACACGGCATGCTACATCATCAATAGAGCTATGATCCGTCCACTCCTAGGAAAAACTCCCTATGAACTACTAAAATGAAGGAAGCCTAACATAAGTCATCTAAGAACTTTTGGGTGTAAATGTTTCGTCCACAACAATGGGAAAGACAACTTTGGAAAATTTGATGCTAGAAGTGATGAGGCAATTTTCCTCGGGTACTCCTCACATAGCAAAGCCTACAAAGTATTAAACAAACGCACACAATGTGTAGAAGAGAGTATCCACGTGGTGTTTGATGAAGCACTTGCCTCAAAACCAAGCCAAGTTGATGATGAAGAGTTGGGAGTCACACGTAAGCCTAGTCTACCTCAAAGAGAAAGTGGATCTGCTCATGACGATAATCAAATTGGTGAACCACCTATAACCAATGAGAATGACAAGTCTGGAACCGAAGAAGAACCTGGACAGAGCACTGACCCTGGACCCATAGAACCAGAAGCATCAGTTTCAGACACTCTTTACGAATTAAATGATCAACCTAATGCTCCTAGGGGTGGAAACTTCATCGATCACATGATTCACATCCTTTGGATAATCTCCTAACCGATCTAAATCAGGGAGTAACAACTAGATCTAAACTTAAAAATTTTTGTGCTTTCTCTGCTTATTTATCACTTATAGAACCGGAGAACCATGAAGTGTCTCTCTCTGACACTAACTGGGTTCTAGCTATGCAGGAAGAACTAAATCAGTTTGAAAGAAATAAGGTGTGGCATCTAGAACCGAGACCCAAGAACAAGACCGTGATAGGTCTCAAGTGGGTTTTCAAGAACAAGCTCGATGAACATGGTCAAATCACAAGGAACAAAGCTAGGATTGTCGTCAAAGGCTATAACCAACAAGAAGGGATAGACTTCAACGAAACATTTGCACCGGTGGCAAGATTAGAAGCAATCCGAATGCTCATTGCATTTGCGACTCATATGCGTTTCACCCTCCACCAAATGGATGTCAAGACGGCCTTCTTGAATGGATATCTAAAGGAAGAGGTATATGTAGAACAACCACTGGGCTTTGAAAATCAAGATTTTTCTAATCATGTTTTCAAATTAGATAAAGCACTTTATGGCCTCAAACAAGCACCTCGTGCTTGGTATGAACGCCTATCTAAATTTCTTTTGGATAACAATTTTGAAAGAGGAAAAATAGATAAAACTCTTTTTCTAAAAATAAAAGATCAAGCCCTATTGGTTGTTCAAGTTTATGTTGATGATATTATTTTTTGTGCTACTAACGATTCTCTTTGTGATGAGTTTTCCTCTCTTATGAGTTCTGAATTCGAGATGAGTATGATGGGGGAACTAAATTTCTTACTTGGTCTACAAATCAAGCAAACAAGCAAAAGAACTCAAATATCTGAACAAAAGTATCTCAAGGAACTACTAAAGAAGTATGGGATGAGCGAGGGAAACACTATGACTACACCAATGGGGACAAATGATGGGCTGGACTCGGATGAACAAGGCAAGAGCATAGACCAAAAGATGTATCGAGGAATGATTGGGTCTCTACTATACCTAACTGCCAGTAGACCCGACATATATAGTTTTCAGCATAGGTCTATGTGCACGGTTCCAGACCAATCCCAAGGAGTCCTATCTCAAAGCTGTGAAGAGGATTCTCAAATACCTCAAAGGAACTACTAATCTATGTTTATGCTATCCTCGTAATGATGATTTTAACCTTGTTGCATATTCAAACTCCGATTTTGCAGGTGATTTGCTAAATAGAAAAAGCACGTCTGGAACAGCTCACTTCCTAGGTCCTTGCCTAGTTTTGTGGAGCTCTAAGAAACAAAATTCAGTTGCTCTTTCAACGACCGAAGCTGATTATGTAGCAGCCGCATCTTGTTGCTCTCAATCATTATGGATCATGCAACAAGTAAGCGATTACGGGGTTGACTTAAAGTGCACGCCCATCCTATGTGATAATACAAGTGCAATTAGCATATCAAAGGATCCGGTCATGCATTCTCGGACAAAACACATTCATATATGTCATCACTTTCTGAGAGATTGTGTGGAAAAGGGACTAGTCAGGCTAGAGTATTGCAACACCGACAAGCAAATTGCCGACATTTTAACCAAGCCTCTGGGAAGAGAAAGGTTTGAAATAATTAGACTGGAACTCGGTCTAATTAATTCCTAAATTATTTGTTCTTCTTCTTATTTCCTAAATTGTATAATATGCACTTAATTATGGGAATCACTGGTACTAATCTCAGCTCTTTCACTAGTCGCGAAGAAAGCATGGAGGACCTTCCGGCCTCATCTAAGGGGGAACAAATCAGTGTTTTAATTTGGACATTATTTTGATTCCTTTTGTTGGATGACAAAAGGGGGGAAAATCAGGTGCCCCTTCATGTGTTGATGCTCTACTATGCTTGATAATAATCTGCAGGGATACCTTTATTATGGCACCTAATGTTTGCCATCAACAAAAAGGGGAAATTTGTTGATTAATTAGTTTTGTTGATGACTAACCTTACTGGAACCAACGGAAGAACTATCCTAATTCTAACCATGTAGGTTGCCTAGTACGAGCTCGTTAACGAACCTGAGTTGGAACTACTCTATGCTATTTGTGATTCATTTATATCTGCGTGCAAGCATGATTATGTGACATTATTTATGACTTGCATGATTTGAAAAATAAATGTAATAATGGAATACCTTTATGGAAAGGGTCCTTAATTAATACATCCACTTTAAAAGAAGGCAATTGTTTTTTAAATAATGAATAAAGAACGTGGCATGATTAAAGTGCTATCAAAGGAAAGCTACTTTAGAAATATCACATGATTTGAATAAATTCAGATTTGCTAAGTATCATTTACTGTCATGATCCGTTGGTCCTATTATGGAAAGATAATATATTATTGTCTTGCCAATTATTCATTGTCTTGTAAGACCATGTGAGCTCGTTTGACTTGGGTATAAATATGGAAGGTTTTTTAAATTATTTCAAGGCAAGAATCACATTAATCCACTCAAGGAAAGAAGGCTCCAACGGATCCACCTCAAGACAGACTATAAAAAGCAAAGGAGAATTGGAGAAGAAGTGAGTTTGACTAGAGAAATATTCTGTAACACCCCGGCCCCCCAGGACCCGAGGTAGTTACTCGGGACCTCTAATACTGTTCTCACAAATCGCCACTAGTCTTTTCCGCGCACTTTGTCCTCACTCGTGCACGCCCTGAGAAACTTCCCAGGGAGTCACTCATCCCAAGACTACTCCTATGCAAGCAGGCTTAACTTTGGAGTTCTTAACGGATGAGTTCCCTTAAAAGGAGATGCATCTTGTTAGTATGAGTACTATTAATCCATTTATATTAAATCTCAAGTGTTACAATCCCCCCACTTAGGATCGCAACGTCGTCGTTGGTTTAATTTATTACTCAATAGTTATTGAAATTGAGGGATAACTTAATTTATTGACGATTGCTAGCAGGAGGAGTAGGTTTACACCACCGCTGACGAATACAACAGCAAATCGCTGAAAGCAGAGCAAGTCCACCAACAACACTACAGAGAATGATAATCCCGTTTTTCAACTTGGATTTTTCTCTTTCTGAAAGCCTTCTGGAAACTGCGAAGTGGTGGTCCACTGAAAGGCCGGGAATCAGTGGCTGTTTTTCGGGATTGGGATGCAGTAGCAGAGGAGAGGAATGATGGTGATTCAGGGGAGGTCCACATTGCAAAGATTTATCATAATTTCCAAATGATGGAGGAGGAAATCGACTGATGAGAGATGGCGGAATAGAGCCATTGAGGCGGTTGTTGCTCAGATTCAAGCGCTTCAGGTTTGGGAGGTTTCCGATGGTGAGGTCCGCCGGTATAGCTCCGGTGAGGCAGTTATTCTCCAGGAACAGAGCTTCCAGAGCGTCCAGTCTTCCGATCGTCTTCTCGGGTATTGCGCCGCGGATCCCGAAACCGCCCAGATTCACTCCGACTACTCGCCGCCGCAGACGGCGGCTTCCATCTGAACTGCTGCTGCAATTCACACCGACCCACGACGTGCAAATTGGGACCTTCGCGCTCCACCCCATCAGTTCCGGGAAGGGCGATGTTCTGAGCAAAGTTCAGCAGGGCTTTTCTGTCCGCTCCCAGATCAGAGGATTGAACCACTCCTTGGAGAAGATGAAAGATTATGATGAGAGGAGGGATCATGTTAGAAGTGTGATGCTCGTATTTACAATTCTTCACCATTTTCTCTTTATTGATTGCCGTCCGCCTTGTTCAATTCTCTCGATCAGATCACCTACAAGCTTACACGTTATGCGTCAGAAATATTTATCAGTTTTTTTAATTAACTTTTGCAAGATCAACTTTTTTTTGGATAAATAGTTTGATTTTATTCATATAATTAAGACGTCAATTTTTAATTATACTATGCTTTGGAATTTACAACTTTTGTAGAGATTTTAAAGTACTTTCTAAGACCAGAAATAAGTATGTATTTATGACTAAAGTAAAGATTGTTTACAAAAATATGATTAATATCTACATTAATAATATAAGTATAGTAACTTAATTAAGTTCAATTTTTAAACTTAAGTTATCATAACATTATATTGTAATAATAATTATTGATCATATTTGTAAATAAGTTTTATTTTAGTATTATTTTAAAAAAATCCTGAATAGAAGAGAATATGTAAAATTTAATTTAATTATTAAAAGTTGAATTAATTATCAAAAGGGGATTTAATTTTTAAGATCATAAAATGTTGACTTTGCAAATTGGAGCATGATATTTAGGCTATCGTATGTTGTTCGACCAAATAATGAATTTGATGGGTAGTCCAACATTCATTTAATGTTTTATATCCGCCATTGCAAGCACCGGCGGACGCAGGATTTCCCGATAGCAGGGGCGGCAGTACAAGAATATACATACAAATACATATATATTAAAAATTTCGGGGTAAATATACCCCCATAGCCCCCATGTGTGTCCGCCACTGATTGCAAGCTAATCACCAAATCAAAGCTGTACTTGCTAAAAATAAATGAATAGATCGGTATACAATGTTGTATGAAATAATTACATAAATATAATCAAAGTAAAGGTGGTTTACAAAAATATGACTAGTTATTAGAGTAGTAATGAAATCATAGTAATTCATGTTCAAGTTTTGAAATTAAGTTACCACAACACTGTTGTAGTAATGAATAGTCATATTTATGTAAATATGTTTTATTTTAGTAATATTATTGTAAAAAACTCAGTATAACAATAGAACAATTGTGGTGATAAATCCATTTATCCATTAGCAATTACTACCTCCGACCCATTGTGTTTGGAACAATTCGTTTTACGATGTTTGACCGACGATAAAACAAACGGATCTCTGTCCGCACTCAAATTATTTTTAGAAAAGAAAAATTACATACTCAGAAACTACATTAAAAACTTTACAAAGTCGCAAAAACTAGAATCAAATTTGATATAAATTTGATATATAAAGTAAGATATTAAAAGTGATTTGTTTTGACCAAGTAAATAGTGTCTGAAACAATCTTAGCGGGACAGAGCGAGTACTATACAACGTAACACAGTGCACCAAGTAATTACTCTCTCTATTTCACTAATAATGAGACAAGAGGGATCGACACGCAAACCAACAAAAAAGATTTATGTAGTTGATATTGAATTGATAAAATAAGAATAAAGTAAGAACGATTTTGAGCCACACAAACTTTACCAATTTTGATATGAGACAATCTTAGTGGAATGAATCAAAAAAGTTAAAATGGGACAATCTTAGCTGGACGGACATAGTAAAACTCCTATGTTATGCTCTATCCGTATAACTTTATAATAAAAGTTAAAGTAATGCAGAATACATTTTTTGTTGAAATGTTTATTTATTGCAGATTGTTAAATGTAGATATTGATATGATAAATATTATTAAAGGTTTTCACTTTGAAGACAGAGAAGTTGAAATTATGAATTTAGTTGTGGAATAGAGAGAGTGTTATGTAAATTAATTAAATATATAATTTTACAATTTTTTGTCAATTTCAAATAATCAAAGTATGTAAATCATCGAAATCATAATTATGATTAATTTCTTTCTTTCTTCTTTTCTCATTTTTAGCTTAATTTTCTTCTATCTTTTTTTCATACCACGTAGTATGTACTACGTGCTATTCACTGTCATCAGTATTTCAGTGCAAGTTCAAATATATAAACAGGATCAAATGTTAGACAACAGTAGGATAGCTAATATTCCATCTCTCCCATTTTGATTTGCACTGATCCAAAAGGTGGAATCCCCACCCCAGGAGCCCCCACACCTCGACCCGACAGGATGGTGAATGAGTAAGTTACGATGACTTAGTCAATAAAGTGGCAGTATGTCATACACCCCTACGCACCAGAGGTCCAACCTTATTTCAGATTCTATAACCTCCACCCGGTCGCTGCGGGGATTCGAACCTTGATCCATTGATCCAAATTTCTCACCACTCGACCAACTGAGCTACCCGTGCGGGTTCCATTTTGATTTGAAAATGTTGATTTCTAGTATCAAAGAAAGTAATGCATAAATTTGAGTTTACCATTTTATCATATCTCCAATACAGGGAATGAGTAACACACTAATAGTAAGGGTAAGTTTGTCACTTTAAACATTTTTATTGCCTAAAATAGAAGGTGGGAAATAATTTTGAGACAACTATAATAGGAAATATGCAAATCAAATCAAAATGGATGGAGCAGTAGATATTATCTATTCCTATTGGATGAACTATATGCTAACGAAAGTACGAAACAACATGAAAAATATCGTTTGAGTTGGTCCTCCCATCGTAAATGCACAAGCGAGTATGTGATCATATTCAAGGGCTTACCGATGTACGTATTTAAGGTATTTCGTAATACTAAGGCTCTCCACAGCTAAAAGCTGAAGGACAATTGTTCAGTTCCTAATTGAATTGGGATATCAAACTAATTGATCAGCGTTGAGAGGAATGTACGAGAGAACGTACTGACTATGGAATGCATATATATACAATCTCTTGGGAATCATATTATATTATTCAATGGTAATGATATTCTTAATTGTGAATAAGAAGAGGAATAAAATAATCAAAAGCATCTTATTTCAGTATATTATTTCTAATACAAATTAAATTTGTTTCTAATATACCACACTTATTATTATTTATTAACCAGGTTACATTTAATTTATCTCTTGCTTAATTCATACATTTCCATTCTTCTCAGCTTTTTCCTTTTGCTTTTAGAATGTCAAAGGATTTGCATTTGAATGGAAAAAAATTAACGGGGATGGGATTCTTTAATTTGTTGAAAGACAAACACTTACATTTCATTTTTTTCATCAAAGTTTAACATATACTTCGTATTAATTTCCAAATATGCAATTGCAAGACTTATACGCAACTACGTAAATTCAACTTTCATTTAAAGTGAAACTTCATGTATACCTTATGTGTGTGCCTGCAAGGAAGGAATATAAGGGCGAATATTTCCTACCATTGTCTACTCTCAAAAAAGATGATACTTGTAAAAGGGTATAGTAGGAGTTGAATTCGAGTCTACACCCTAGTAACATCTTTCAGGAGCAATATTTTGCAGTGAAGAGTTCCTATATAAACGTGTTTATATATGTGACGTTGGTGACCTTGTAGATATTTATTACGGAGTATTAAAAATTTAATGTACTAGATATATATATGATAGTAGATAATACCATTATTCTACTAAATTTCAGATAGAGGAAGTAATTAATTTTCTGAAAGGTAAAATGTGGTAAATTCAGGGGCGGAGCCAAAACACTTGTCCGATATAAAGAATATTTTTGAAAAAATTTTACAAGAAATTTTGCACAATAAAAATGCAGATATTTTTGAAATTTAGGCTGGACCAGGGCCACGGTTGGCCCCTCCCTACACTACAAAAAAAATGGGATGGTCAGATATTTTTGGCAAGGATTTTCCGAAATTTTCAGGGATTTAGGATGGGTTATGCCAAATCCGGCCAAAACCAGTTTGACACGGGCTATTTGGCACGAAATAATGGGTAGATTCGTGCCAAATCCGTGCCAATCCCGTATGAATACAATATGACTAAAATAAGAATAAATTGGAACCACACAAGTATTAGTATATATGATATGTGACAAATTTAATTGGATGCGTCGTGGACAAAAAAGGAAAGAATAGACAATAAATAGTGGGATAGGGAGATAATAAATCGATCTAATCGACATACTCACCTTAGGGTATGTTTGGGAGTTGAGTTTTGCATGGGCGGATCTAGGGGTGGGCCAACCTAGGCCCTGGCCCATCCCAAAATTTAAAAATACCTTAATTTTTTGTGTAAAAAATTCCTTTTTAATTTTTTTTCAAAAAAATTCTTTGTACCGGCCTAGTGCGACCCAGTACTCTGGCTCCGCCCCTGGAGTTTTGGAGGGGATGGGATGGTTGACAAGGATTTCTGACCCCCCCCCCCCCTCACTACAAAAAAAAAACAGGCTTTTTATCACGGAATTTTGTCATGGATTCCGTCCGTGACAAGTTTGTCACGGTTGTTGTCACGGATTTATCTGACATGTCACAAATAACTTTTGTCATAGATTTTTCCGTGACAAAGTCCGTGACAAACGTTTGTCACGGATTATATCCGTGACAAAGGGGTTCCGGCGATCGGAAATTGATTCCGGCATAATTGTTTTTTATTCCGAGCATTTGTCACGGACGGATCCGTGAAAAAATCCGTGACAAATCTCAAAAATTGAAACTTTCAACTGTCCCCGAATTAATGTTTTACGGATAGTGTTTGTCACGGAAAAATTCGTGACAAAATCTGTGACATATTGTTTTATATAAGCAAGAACATATTCATTCGACTGATTCATACCAATCCAAACTCATCAGAGTATAATACATTATCTGTTGAAATATTGAAATATGTAATCTATCTTATGTCATTTTCCCTATCTATGCAGATAAAGTATGTCATTTGAATTATTAAAATTATTAGTGAGGTTGTTAATTAATTAAAAATATATTTTTAACTATAAACGGAGTGATGTCATAATTTATTGTGCATATATTTGAAATTCGTTTGGAAATGTATATTAATTTTTCAATTATTGGTAATACCGTTAATTTAGGATTTGAATTGATTATATTAGTTAAATTTAAATATTAGTTAATTGAAATGAGTTTATAAAATTATTAGATTTGTTTATGCCTTTTAGTAAAAAACCTTTAAGAGTTTTAAGTAATAATAATAGTAATTCAATTAAAATGCTTTTCACATTTGTAGTTAATTAAAATGTTTATTTGAAATTCGTTTAGAAATATATACTAAATTTTAGCAATTATTGTTAATGTCTAATTTAGGATTTGAACATTACTTTAGTGTGAATTATTATTGCGAATTATTTGAACTTCATTTAATTTATATGTTTAATTTATTTTTTATTATTAGATTTTCAAAATTTTAGTATTTTTGAATTAATGACATTAACGTAATGATTTAGTGTATTTAGTGTTAAAATGTTAATATTGTGA